GTCACAAGTCGGAAGAGATTAAAGAGATAGGAAAAATGATATTAGCTGGGTGTGGTAATACACACCTTTAATCCCAGCGACTCAGGAGGCTAAAACGGAGGATTGTTAAGTTTGAGGTTAGCATCAGTAACTTAGTGAGGCCCTAAGCAACTTAGTGAGAGCCTGGATCAAAATAAAAGATAAAAAGGACTGGGGATGTAGCTTGGTGGTAAAGCACTCCTGGGTTCAATCCCCAGGACCTACCCCAAAAATGTGATGTGGGATCCAGGGATAGAAAAGGAGATTAGTGGGACAATAGAAAAATGAATAAAGTATACAGATTAGTAAATAGTAATGTATCAGTAAATCCCCCTCCTTTTTTTAAAGGGTGTCAGGGTGTGCATGGGGTTATATTGCCCAGGCTGGCCTTGAGCTCCTGGGCTCTAGCAGTCCTCCTGCGTCAGCCTCCTGAGTAGCTGGGACTACTGGAGTGTGCCACTATGCTCAGCTCCAGTTTTTTTTTGTATTGTGGTTGTCTAAAATGTTAGCCTGTGATGGCAATGATGGAATGATAAATGGAAACTCTTTATACTATTCTACTTTTATGTAAGTCTGAAATTACATCACAATGAAATATTAAAACAACAAAAAATAAGATTCCAAGACATAAATATTTGTGCAGTAACAATCTGAACACTGAATTATAATATAATAACGAAAAGTTGGAAACAATGTCCAATGATGTAGGTGAAGTAAATGAGTCTGTAAGTCAGAACACTAGGCAACCATAAAAAATGGTGTGCATACATTTTTACATGACACTGGAACATTCCTTCTGGTGTCAAGGGAAGAAAGCAAAGGTGAACATGACATTCTCATGGAACCTGAAATTACCTTCAGAATGGGATTTTAGATGATCTATTTATCTCTATAGACTTTCCCATATGTTCCAGGTTTTTTTTTTTTTTTTGACTAGGGATTAAACTCAGGGGCACTTGACCACTGAGCTACATCACCAGCCCTATTTTGTATTTTCTTTAGAGACAGGATCTCACTGAGTTGCTTAGCACCTCGCTTTTTTCTGAGACTGGCTTTGAACTCATGATCCTCCTATCTCAGCCTCCCAAGCCACTGGGATTATAGGTGTGCACTACTGCGTCCAACATGCTCTGGGTTTTTACCAATGAATGGGTGTTATTTTTCTAATCAGAACAAAAAGGCTATTTCAATAAATGGACCTTATAGATACAAGTCTTGAGGGACCCTGCGTGGGTCATGGACTCAGGAGGCTATGATGGCCCCTCACCAGACCTCCTTAGCAAAAGCAGTGATAGCCAACTGAGGCAGCCTGCTTTGGGAATCCTGCATGTCCTTCCTGGATATCATCTGAAGTCTGTTAAAGAGAGCTGGGACAGGAGGCAGAGCATGCTATAGGAGATGCCCAGAAATGACAGATTTGCTGTGTCCATTCAGATGGGACCTCATTCAAGGCCATGGCTATCTATCAGTCCTTCCTTTACAGCACTCTGTGAGGAGATGGCCATTAGTACTGACACTTGGCAAATAGGGAAATAAAGTTCTGAGAGGCTGTAACAGAGTCCAAAGCTCATCCAGATGGTTTTGTAGAACTGGGACTAGAACTGGTGTCTTCTCTCTCTGCCCATTGTTTTCCCAATTGTACCGGAAAGCCTTACTCTCCATGAGCTGCTTTCAAAGTCAGAAAAGACATAGAGAGGAACAAAGCAAAGAGCACCCAGGGTTACAATTTTCCATTCATGTGGCATGCTCCCAGATGAGCACTCTTGTATTATATTCAACTTCAACAAGCTCATCAAAGTATTCAAGACAGAACCCGGCCTGTGTACCCACACACAAATTCTTCAGTAATTAAGCGGACAAACATTCAAGGAATGTCAACTTTGAGTCTGGAAAGAAGAAAATATTCCAAGTGAATATGATACAGAATATGATACCTGGGGCACTTAATTTGGAATTTTGGGTGGATTATAAAGGTGTCCTGAAGGCAGAATTCTTAAGCTAGAGGTTTGCAGAGGAGCAGTGATAATTCAAGCTTGAGAGAACAGAAATGGCTGGCTCCTGTTAGGAGGGCAACGCCTACACCTACACCTCTTTTGGGGATGTATGACTTGGCTGACGCATGAGCTGAGACCTGTAAAAAATTCAACAGTTCCCCAAAATGAATGTATCAGAACTGAGGCTCCAGAGGAGGTCAAGCATGTACTCTGCACAGGCTCTTTCACCCTTTCTTGGGTGAAGAAAGTCAGAACCTCACTCGGCAGCCCACATAAATATGCCTCTCCAAGTTGGTCACACAACACCATCTGTCTTCAATGGCTTCATACCCTCACCCGCTGGCCCCAACCAGGATTTAACCCAGGGGTCTCTACCACTGAGCCACACCTCCAGTCCTTTTTTATTATTTTGACTGGGTCTCCCTGAGGCTGACCTTGAACTTGCAACTTTCTTGTCTTGGCTTCCTGGGCAGCTGGGATTACAGGTGTAAGCCACTGTACCTGGCCACAACTTTTAAATGTAACCCACAATTGGAAATATTTTTTGTTGCAACTCAGAATACAAACACATGTACATACACAGGTATACACACGCATAATTTTATGACTCTTATCCTACAATGTTCACTGTATTTAAAATTAAAAACAGAAACCAAACCAAAAACCATGCTGGTTAACCACTGAATTGATTACACAAGTCAGGAATGGTTGTGACCCATGGTTTGAATGCAGCTAACATTCACTAAAGCCACATCATGTGCCGCACACTATCCATTTATAATCATTACTCTTAATATTTGTGTCCACCTGTGTGTTAGACTATCATGCCCATTTTATAGCAAGAAGTGAAGCTTACGGAAATGAGTGTCCAAACTTATGTCTTGGTAGTAAGGTGTACTAGGAAGTAGCCAAGCAGGGGACTGAACCAGACTGAGGCCGGATCCCTAATGCTTGGTCACCATATCACACGACCTTGGTTGGAGAAGTTCAGGGCATTCCCTTATTTCTCTGTTAGAATGTGTGCCTTCTTCCCCCAGAAGCCTTTTGGCAAATCTCCTCTGCAGTCCTTGTCCTATTCCTCAGATCTGCTCCATCAGCTCCTGCCATGAGGACTGAGGGTGGAGAGGGGGCCCCGGCCCTCCCTGCTTTGCTAAGGGAACCACATAGCTCAAGTCATCAGGAACTTTCTCTCGAGGAAGAGAGTGGGAATGAAGACTTCAGTTTGAGAGCACATTGGTCAGTGGTTGGTTTCTGTTTCACTGTAAATTCATTTTATTTTTTTGAGACAGAGTCTCGCTATGTTGCCCAGTCTGAGCTCAAGTGACCCTCTGGCCTATGCCTTCTGAGTGCTGGGGCTATAGATGTGCACCACTGTAATTGGCTCATTGTAAATTCTTTTTCTTCTATGAGGTGACTCTCATGCTGCATATGTCTTTAAAAGATACAAGAAACAGTCATGTGGGTGTGGAGGCCCACAGATGGGAACCAAGGCCAGGACATGTACCTGTGGCTGTGCTGGGCAAATGCCCCTGGCTGTCTCGAGTACTCACCAGCTGGCATTCCCATCTGGGGGTCCCTTGGTTCCACTCTTTCCTCGCTCCCTTCTGGGCTGGTTCTTCAGCAAAGGTGCCCTTGGCCGAGACAGCTCAACTGAGGAGATGCTTAGGAGGAGCACTGGGTGCGGCTTCCAACAGACCATCCTTGCTTTCTTGGCATTCATTTGTTGCAGGTGCCACATGTGGGCATAGGGAAGCAGGGCTCAGTGGATTCTCTGCAGGGGAGCACCTATGGCCTCAGAGATGGCACAGCCCACTACACTGAGCCTGGCCGCACATTGCACCCACCATTAGCAGGCATCAAGGGTGATGCTAAATCAGGGGTGACACTAAGTACCACTCTCCAGCCCCTAGTGATATCACATGCTTGAGGCCCTGGGCTTGACCCCTGGCACCACCAAAACAAACAAACAAAAGCCAAGTGGTTTGTTCCTTAGAGGCTTTTAAAACATTGTCTACCAGGCCCTGCTTTTAGAATTCTGGTTTAGTAGGTAGGTCTGGGGTAGGGCAGCTCCAACAACTTCCCAGGTGACACTGATGCTGCTGGGCCAGGGACTACCAGAGAGCCTTGAGGAATTCTAGCAGAATCTTTCTTCATGTTTTTTTTTTTTTGATATTTAAGGGGCTCTGGGATGGGGTGCTGCTCCATGGTAGAGCACTTGCCTAGTATGTGTGAGGCTCTGGATTCCATTCTCAGCTGCAAACATAAAAGGTGGAGGGGCAGGGTTCCTTCTAAGTTGGGACCCCTCACCTTTTAGCTGGTACGCTGCAAGTTTTAAAATGAGAGAAGCTTCAAACCCACTGGCCTGGTAGGAGAGCCCAGCCTCCCAGAGAGGAGCCCGTGTGTGATGGCAGCCTTGCATAGGAGTGTAATAATGCTAGTGGGTTCACTTCAGCTGGAAGATTTCTGATCAGGTTGGTGGATACTTGACCAGAATGAGCAAAAACTGGTAGTTTTTTGCTCTTTCAAGGAGCTATTACAAAGACAAACTGGTATAACTAACAGGAGGTGTGGCACGTGCATTTCCACCCAAACATACTTTGTGTTGGCTGTCACCACCAAGTCCATGCAAATATGCATCAATTCGTCTGGACCTCAGCCTTTTGTATGTTCCGTGTGGCTGACATTGACAGATGAAAGGAACCTGGGGATCACCTAACCCAACAGGGCATGTCTTTTTCATTTCACTTCCCAGATCCCATGTTCCAAAAGCCTGGCTATACTGGTTCATTTTCCCATGGGGGAAGAGAGATGTCCTCTTTCATTCCATCTGAAAATACTAGGAAAGTTCAGGGGGCCCTTCTCCCTGCGAGTACACCAGACTGGGAACCACTTCCTATGCTGCAAGTGACATCACATTCCCAAGTCACTGCATTCTCAACAAAATGTCTAAAGGAAAATGAAATAGGAAAAATCCAGGCCACCTAGGGGTAAGCTGAGTGCAGCATTTTATTGTGACTTGAGTGCTAGGGACAGTCACTCTATCCAGTCTAAGGGCTTGTACAAATCCAGAGATACAATCAGTTGGGATGTTTGAAAGAACCTTTCCTCTCAGAGAGAGAAACTCGGTACACTCAGGTTTAAATCATGAGCTTCTATTTTTAGAACAAAAAAAATTCAATGCAGCACTATCTACTGCATTCCTTTGAAATTCCATGGGAAAAGCAGCAACACACGTCACTTTAAAATTGTCCTTGAAGATGGAGGGTTCTGAGGACATCCAAATACGTAAAAGCTATTTCCTGAGTACCAGTCCCTGTCCCCTAGGGGGAGGACCAGAGCTGCAGCATTGTCTCCCAAGGGACCCATTCCTTCTTAACTGCTAAGAGTCATCTAACAGCCACTCTTCTTTCATGTACCTAAATGAAATGTTAAAAAAAAAAAAAAAAGAATGTATATGGAGAACAAATGCTATGAACTTGATTAAAAGCAGGCTTTCTAAAAAAACACTTAAGAACTGAGGCTTGATTCTATGGCACGAATAGCACAGTAGAGGCAAGTTCAAGTTACCTGCCTTAGGGAGGGTCACAGAGTTGCTCAAGGGTGCCGTCTCTCACCTGGCAACATGCCACCCGAGGCCAAAGCTCCTCAAAGAACTGCACCAGAACAGCACTCACCAGAGTTCTGCAATGTTTTCCTCTGGCTGGACTTGGCTTTTGGCTGGGTGGCTCTGCTCACAAACTCCAGAGAGACTTAAGGACTTGCTAGAGCCACTAAGAGCTCATCAACACCAAGCAGGCAATTCAGACGGCAGCCAGCCAAGAGAGACAGGCCTGGTGGGGCAGCTTGTTTGAGAAGGACCATAAATGTCCTTTCTATAGAAATCTTTAAGTAAAAAACCTTCATTCAAGAGAGGGCACAATTAAATCACCACTCCAGCAGAGAAACCTCAGCAGCTATGGGCGATCTACCCTCCTCTGTGGGTAACATGGGAAGAGAGGAAAGCTAAATCAGAGCAGGTTTTGGAAAAGTTTTATTGCATTGTTTCCATGTGGAAGCACTGACAGAATTAAAAGAGGCAGCATGTTCCACTGACTTTTCTGAAAAATCACATGGCTAGATTAACTTTCTCCCTACCCAGGACTAGACTGAATAAATCTTATCCCCCGCCCCCACCCCAAGCAAAAGCTAAAAAGGGAGATTTGTGACAATCGCTTAAAAAACAAATCAGTGTGTAGGAATTCACAGATGGTCAGGATTCAGATTGGTTATTTTTGTGTCTGAGGGCACTCCCTATCTCCTCACCTCTCCCCACCACTCTTGGTCCTTCCTCTAGCTTGTCACCACCTCTTTCAAAGGAGACCCAGTGGGGGAAGTGCCTCCCATGGAAAGGCTGGCCTTCCTCAGTGCAGCAGGGCCAGGTGCCCCTGGCTCAGTCCAGTGAGCGGACATTCTTCTGTCAACTTTAAAAATGTTGTCCCAGATCATGGTTAGCCCCATGCCAGGACAACAGTCTCCTAGGTTAAAATAAGACATGGGTACGCACACATTCCATGGCTCTTAAATAGCAGAAAGTGGACCCATGTTAGAGATTTACAAAATGAGAAGGGCTTGACGGTGGGGCACATGTGTTCCACCCAGAATCAACACTGCTTAATTGACATCTCGCCGGGGAAGGGAGGGAGATGGGGCGGTCAGGGAGGAAGTAGTTGTAACAAAGGAATAATATGTAGCTTGCCTGAAACTGCATGGCCCCCCACCCCTTTGATTGTACAGGGCATTTTGAAATGGAAAAACTCCTTTCCTTCATTTTCTTCTGAAATCATCAGAGGGATAAAACTGCTGATTTAGAATACAAATTAGACCCCTTCAACTCTCCCCCCTTCCCCACCAAAATTATTCTACACACCCCAGGCCCATAAAGTACAAGGCAGAATAACTGATTTTGTGAATGAGGAGGCAAACTGTGTCCACTTGGGGGAGGAGGCTGCTGAGCCACGGGCCCTTCTGAAGGCACCAGCCCTGATCCTGCCCTTCTCAGGCCTCAAGGGGCAAATATCCATCTTCAGTGAGTTTTAAGTCCCATGGGCTCCTGCCACTGCCTCCTGGGCAGTGGGAGGCCAGGGCCCTCCTGGCTTTCCTACCAGGCCAGTCCATCCACGCACAGCGTCACGTCTCACTCAATTAGTAGAAGTGGACACGGCCTGGAGACAGCACCCTCCACGTTAGTCATGCCAGACAGATAGCAGAGAGGAAACCAGAGGCCAGAGAAGTGATTTTTAAAAGGAAAAAGAAGAGCAGCTTCGGTCATCAAAAAATCAAAAAGGATGATTTTTAAAAAATAAAACATGGGGACTTTTTTTTTCTCTGCAATGTTCAGCCATTTTACTTGAGACATAAAAAAAGTTTTAGAGTAGTTGATTTGCTTTTCGGTCTAAACATTCATGAGAACAGATCGGACGATAGTGCTGTGATGTGGTTTGTGTCTGAGTGGCAATGCTGGTCAGGGGTCCTTCAGACCACATACTGGTACGGGTCTGCCTTCCCTTGATCTGGCGTGGCAAAGGGGCTGGCCCAGCCTAGAGAGAAGGGGTGGCCAAAAACTGCTTTCATGTTCATCCATTTTGTTTTTTTAGCCCATCTTCTCTCTTCCTTTTTCAATTGTTCTATTCCCTGAAAACAAGAACAATCATACTTTCAGTCAAGCACTTTATTGCTGTAGTTTTGGGGAGGGACATCCATTAGCTTGAGATGACTGGAGGAAATGCTTCCTTTTTAAAGCAATATATAGCTATCTACATGTTGCAGTTTTCTTCTCTGTCCCTCATAAGAAGTGTCACACACACACACAAAAAAATGCTTTTTTTGGTGGGCACATATTTACAAGTCCCTCAGAGAAGGAAGGGAACATGAGCGCAGCCAGGAGACACCTAAGCTGTTGTCCTAACTGTGCCAATCCAGCATATTGTAGGTTGGGAACATTCACCAGACCTGGTCCTTCCTGGGCTCTAGAGAGGAGCTTGTGGCCTGTGCTGGGTGCACAAGGGACTGCAGTGCAGGCTTTGGTGGGGGAAGCCTCAGAACTGAGTGGGACCCTGCAGTCATGAGAATTAGCAGTGGCTGCTAAATTGGGATAGATTCATGGGAAGTTTGAAGCTACTATGACCACTTTGCAGACAAAAAAAAAAAAAAAAAAAAAAATAAAAACAAAATGACTGCTCTGGCGCTGAGTCTCACCAGCCTGTGGGGATCCAGAAGCAGCTGGCTCAGCGGGGCTGGCGAGACACAAACCAAGAAGATAGAGCAGAAGTGAGAGGCCGTGGGTGAGGGAAGAAGTCACCAGAGGAGGAAGGAAAGGGATTAGTATAGGTCAGCCTCAGTCACGGCGAAGGTCTTCCATGTGCTCCTTTGGGGCAGAAGCGTGGGGGAGGCCAATGTGGCAATGTCACACAGCCTGTGCCACTTCCCTTGCTATATTTCACTGGAAAAAATGGGGACTAGGAGGAAACTTCCCCTTTTCCCTTCTTCAGATGGAGCTGGTCAACTGCCAGCAGAGCTGGACAAAGGGCAAGGCTTGAGTATGGGCCCCTGTGCAGAGGCACAGGAGAGAAGCTGCCTGGCAGGAGCTCAGCTAGAGCTGTCTGCTGTGGTCTCTGGTGAGATGGGGGCTGGGACAGTCCAGTCTGAGTCTTCACAGCCCAGGGACCTGGGAAGGACATTGGTCAAGGGGAAGATACCCTTTCCCATGAGGTGCAGGCCCTATGTTCCTTTCTCTTTAGCTTTCCAACATATCCCCTTAGGAATAGCCTTGACGGGGAAGAACAACTAGGACCAGGCCAGGAATGTTTTCCTTCTGGCCCTCCAACAGCATCCTGAAAGTGGGCAGAGCCTGATAGTCACCTTTGGGTTCCCTGCAGCTTTTACACAGAGAAGCTGGTCACTTTACTGTTTGGCTACATAGCTGGATCTATACCATTGGCTACTATTTTACAGAAACTCTTTTGCAATGACATTTCTTTATTTTGTACTGGGGATTGAATCAGGGGAACTTTACCATTGAGCCACATTCCCAGCCCTTTTCATTTTTTATTTTAAGACAGGGTCTCACAAAATTCCTTAGGACTTTGCTAAATTGATGAGGCTGGCCTCAAACTTGCATCCTCCTACCTCAGTCTCCCAAGTCACTGGGATTACAGGTGCGCACCATTGTGCCCAGAAATTACATTATTTCTTATAAATGAAAAAGAGTTGCTGAAAGTCCCATGACCCTTCTAAAACATTGGGAATCCCACCCCTCAGATCCACACTATGGTGCTTTGACAGTGGGTAGTACTGACCCTTCTCTGCTGACTGCTTTTCTATGCCTATAAGGCAGAGAAACCCACAGCAATGGGAAGGACTATCTTTCTAAGAGCCCCACTCACACACTGGTTACCCAACAGTCCACAGCCTCCAGACCACTGTTGAAAATGTCCACTGGGGGAGCTTGGGAAGCCAGGAGTAATATGTGAAAAAGCTTGAGACCTCCTGACTCTGCTCCTCATGCTCAGAGCAAAGTGCTGCCCTCTCTTCCTGGAGTCCTTTATCTGACCCCCAAACCAGAAAAGAAAGAAATGCCACCTCAAGGACACTGGACACCTGAAGAAGCACGTGGTGGCAGCAGGGCACCAGGGGAGCAGGCTCCAGTCTGGCCCAGCCAGCAACTTCAACAGGCCCCAAAAGGGAGTAGTAGGTAGGATGGCAAGGAGTGGGGGGATGGGAGGCCATGGCTGAGTGCCAGGGCTGGGCCAAGCACCGACAATTCAAATGCCAGCAGAAGCTGCTGGAGATTCAAGGCAGGTGTCTTCTGAATGCCCCTAGGACCTAGTCATGACATCTCCTCTGGGAAGCTGACCTTGTCTATCCCAGCTGGTTTAGGCCATAACTTGTGGATCACCCTATCTCTAAACCTCTGGCCTCCAGATGGGAAACATGTCCCCAGTGCCTAGCAGAGTGCCCAACACAGCAGTGCGTACAAAGAACCAGGAGGTAGGTTATGAAAGGGACTATGGTACAGGCAACCTTCTAGCCACGGCTGCTAGTCCCGTTTCTGGTGTGATCTGCTGTACCTGTCCAAGGCTAGAGGGTTTGTGTGTGCATAAAGACGATCTGTGTCACTGCAAACGAAGGGATTGTGCTCTGCACACCGGGGCCTAGCTACTGGGCTTTCGGGTCTGGCCTGGGAGCAGCCCTTCCAGTACCTGTCTGGGGTCCTTCCCAGCCCCAGATGAAGAGGTGGAGGGCAGGGGTGCCCACTTACCGTCTCATCTGTGCAGATGGAGTGCACTTGGGTCCCAAACATCACTGACGTGAAAATGAGGAAGAGCAGCGCCTCAAAGCACAGCAGAATGAGGAGGATCACCGTGGTGGGCGGTGAGAAGGAGCTGCACTCTGAAACAGAGAAGGACATACAGGCTCGGGGCTGCCACCTGCTGCTGCCCAGCTCCCTAAGGCACCTGGATTCCTGCTCTGCCTAGGCTGCAGGACTCGGCACCTCTTGGGGATCCCAAGTCTCTGACCTCCAGGCATGGCAGGTACTATCCTATCCTACAGCTGGCTACCCCTCACCCTCTTAGGGAAGCCCTCCTCAAGAGGCTCTGGCTGGGGCTTCCCTTTCCCTAACAAGAATCAGCCCCTGCTCCCTGTCCTTGGGTCCAAGCAGACAGCCTGGCACATGGAAGACCCAGGAAGGACCATGAACTACAGTAGGACAACCTCATTACAGCACGGGGGGCCTCTCCTTCCTCAGAGAGCACAACGCAAGGGCTCAGGTGCAGAGGCCCCTCCAGTCCTGATTTGGCCAGAGGGCTCCTGGGCAATCCTGTACAAGGTGCTGCCTCTTTCTGTACCTCCATCAGACCACAGAGAGAAAAGGGGAGGATTGAAGCATCTGGATTTGAAGCTTGGGAGGGTAGACTAAGTGCAGGGCTCAGCTCTGACCACAGTGTGAGGCGACGCCCTTTCTTCTAGGACATCTGCCTCACTGAGACCATCAGCCCCAAAGGCTGGGGAATTAACTAAAGAGATAATGGCCTAAGGCAGACACTTTCACTATACTGGCCACTTTAAGGCCACCCTGACCCAGGGCAAGGCCCTGTCCTATCCAGGATTCACTGTAAAGCAGCAGTGTCTGACTAGAGGCCTGGTTTGCTCCTGTGTGGCAAAATCTTTTGTCTGAACAAAGTCTAAATAAGAAATGTTGGAAGAGAACAGAGGTGCTGTTGGAGATGGTAGAGGTCATCATCACAGCAGCCTCCCAGGAAACTCCCAAGACAGGTGGACCACACCTGGGACATGCCTGGCCCAGGCCACGGCACTGGCAGTGTAGTCGAGGCCTCTTGGGAGCACTCATTCCCTGAGGACCCTTGCTGAGTGCAGCTGCCTGGGCAGCTCAGGCCTGCTTCCCTGGCCGGAGAGGTTGAAAGACAGTTTGGCTTCACTGGCTCTGAGGATTCAGGGAGTAAGTGATTCTCTGAGTTGCCCTGCTGGTGGCCTCGCAGGTACATCAAGAAGAGTAAGGGAGGTTGCAAGGGCTTAGAAAGATACCAAAGTCTGTGGGGAGGCAGGTGAAGGGATATCTCATCTAAACACCTTCCTTCCCTTAGGTTTCCCTGGGAACTTAATACCTCAAGATATTTCTTTTCTTGGTTCCTTGCTGGGCAGGGCTTGGTCAAGGTAGCCCACCAGCCTGCTGGGCTGGCTCTGGGTGGCCCTAAACATGGCAGCTGCTTGCCTGGCCATCTGCTGGGCAGGATATTAGGAAGAAATTAATAGGGCTTTGAAGTTAGGCAGACATGCTGGAGTTTGAACCCCTGGCTGTGAGCTCTAACTAATAACCTAATAATTAATAATCTGCTGCAACCCATCTTGCATTGTGGAATTGTCTTTTTCTTTTGGTACTTGCTTGGTATCTGCCTTTCCCACTATACCTCAAGCTTCATGAAGCTGAGGACTTTGCTCACTGCTACATAACCAGGTTGGAACAGTATCTAACAACAAGAGAATCTGGGCAAGAGGGTTGGGCTTTTCCCTTCTGTACCGGGATACAATTAAGAATTCATAAGAGGCCAGGCATGGTGGTGCACACCGGTAATCCCAGTGGCTCAGGATGCTGAGACAGGAGGATCGTGAGTTCAAAGTCAGCCTCAGCAAAAGCAAGGCTCTAAGCAACTCAGTGAGACCCTGTCTCTTAAGTTAAAAAAAAAAAAAGGCTGGGGATGTGGCTCAGTGGTTGAGTGCCCCTAAGGTTCAATCCCTGGTACTCCCCCCAAGACCCCTGCAAAAGAAAGAATTCATGAGAGGACATCTGTATAGCACAGCCTTAGCCTGACACAAGGTCAGAGGGTGCTCACTGGATGTAGGTACCTTGCCTCTGCCTCACCTAACTCGGCTGCCTTGGAGCTGTAGGCAAAGCCTACAGGGCTTAATCTCCCTCCCTGCAAAGCAGCAAGCATCCTTCCCTTCTTGAGCTGGGCCCTGGGGATTACAAATGGAGCCTGGGCAGGCACGATCCAGATTCAGGGGATGTGAAACTACCTCCCTATTCTTCTTTAAACATTAACTCAAAACACCTCAACCTAGGGGACAGTCCCCATGCCCTCTTAATATAAGCTCCTATGGCCCCACCAGCTCAACCAGGACTAAGCAATGATGGCATTAACTGTCATACACAGGCAACTTTCAGGTATCCATTCCGGGGACTGTCCTGTGCCTTCCTAGCCTTGCTGGTCTAGGAACTGGTGCCTCAAATCCACTCCGTCAGCAATTTTGAGCAAAGACAAGCAGTGCCAGGGAAGACCCTGGGGTAGCCAGATAAGGTGGAAACCCTTGCTCCAGATTGAGGCTTGAACAGCAGGCCCTCTTCTTGGCTAAATGATCGTAGAACTTGTTCAACCTCTGTAAGCTCCAGTTTTTGTCATGTGCAAAGTGGGGAGTACTCTTCTACCCTGCAGGCTTGTTGTAAGACTGAAACGAGGTACTGCTCAACAAGCCTTCTGTGTGATGCCTGTCTCCTTGTAGACATTAATAAAACCATTTCAAAGACATTCCACCTCACTGACAGTCTCTGTTACTGCCTACAGTTACCCTGATGACAGGTGGGAAGTGTTAATAAAACGAGGAGCTGACCTGCATCCCCAGGGTGTGGCAGAATGAGGGTATTTCAGGAAGCTCACCAAGCGATTGGGAACTTGCTGAAGACTTACTCTCTTCTAGGATCTGCAGATGCCCACTCTCCCCCACCCTTCCTCATGCCTCCTGCTCATTAGTGAGGTCTCCTTCTTTCCCTGGGCTTATGCCAAAAGTATGGCAAGTCAGCCCATGCAGGAAAGGCAATTGCTCTGAAGATGATAAAGTGAAAAAGGGCACCCACCAAGGAAAAACAGTAGAAATATGATGTTCCCTGCTCAAGACTGCCTCAGATTTTGAGTGTGAAAGCTCTAGCCCAGCAGGTGGTCTCTCTCTCTTTTTGTTTTCCCTTCCAGAATCTATTTTTCTTTTCCTTCAGAATTTGTAACAGTATTCTGGTTGGACCTCATTCCATCTGCTCATTTAAATTGAATACTTCTAGAGCAGAGAGAATTTGTGTATGTTTTTAATGTAAATTGGTGATGATTAAACAGTTTGAAAACAACCACCACAAAAAAACCAAGCAAATCAATAAAAAACTCTATGTCGTAGGCAGAAGGTTAAAAATAGGGACTTCTGCAAAACTAGAATAAAACAACTTTTGATTAATGTGCCCCATTTAGGGCTGGGGTGTGGCTCAGTGGTGGAGCACTTGCCTAGCATGCTTGAGGTCCTGGGTTCCATCCCCAGAACTGGAAGAAAAAAAAAAAAAGCCTCAGGTAAAGATAGAAACATAAGCTATCACCCAACATGGCTCCCCCTCCTTGGAACCAGGGTCTCTACTTGCAGGGGCCTTACACTCTCCCTGAGCACACTCAGTGCAATGGGCCTGTTCTACTCATTACTTTACCTGTTAAACTGATTTTGGGGGGCTGCTCTCTTTCATGAAGATAGACTTGGGCCTCTGCTGTTCTTTCCCTGTTCTCTCCATAGTCTTGCAGTAGATTTAACAAACTGAGGTAGACAGCTGGTACCATGAAGGAAACAGAGCCTCCATGAAGGAAATAGAGCTGGATTCACATAGGTGGTCTGTGACCACCCCGCTTAGGTTACAGAACCCACCCTGGAACAGGAAGGGAAGCCCTGGCACATACTCACTTGTCCAATCTTCTTCAAAGCAATGCAGGAAGTGGAATCCCACCATGATGAGGGCGTGCAAGGAAATGAGAGCTATGTACATCTGAAACAGGAAAGCAGTGCAGATGCCATTGTTGTGAGAACCTTCTGACTGTGCAGACTCTGGAGCAGGGCATTCAGAACCTGCTCCTCGGAACACTTAGCTAGGCCGAGGCCTGACCAGGACGGGGCCAGAGAGGCATCTGGTGACTCCCCCACAGGGCCTCCGACCTCCCGCCCTGGGTCTGAGGGGAGCAGCCATTCTCTGAGTCTGTGGAACCAGAACAGAAACAAAGCCTGGGCACCAGGCATGACCTGGACTGCCTGGGGGCATGCAAGGCGTACTACTTCTCTTCACTTTAAGTTAGGGTGCTGACTGCTAACTTCAAGTGAAGTTAGCTCTGAGTGTTCTCTACCTACCTGCAGCTCAGGACGTGAGGACACTGCTAACACTGCTTGCTCTAGCTACTTAAGCCTGACACCTGGGGTGGGAGCTAATCCACCTGTCTGCATGCGAAAGTGAAGGGCACTTTTCAGCCAGAGATCTTTGGCAGGAGGGTGGAGAGCTACTCGGGCAGGCAGCTTTCTCAAGGGCAGTCAAGACTGCTGTGAATGCTGAGAATTTGCAAAGGAATAAAAGGCTCCGCTGCTGCTTTGTGGAGGGCAGGGCAGACATCTGAAACTGACTTACTGTAAACAGGACGAAGTACTTCTGGTTGTTCTCGCCGACACAATTATTGACCCAAGGGCAGTGGTGGTCCATCTTGCGAATGCACCGCTTACAAACACTGAAACAGCCCACAGGTCAGACCTTTAGGGATATCCTAACAGTTTGGGGCCTCCAAGGGGAAGGTGGGACCCACAGCTCCAGTTTTACTCCTTAGAAATGGCTCTCTCTGGCACAGCTAGAGGTTTTTCTGGGTTTTTTTTTACAAGGGCCTTGGAAGGCAGGGTCAGTATGCCCAGGGTTCACAGTCATTCCCAACAGGGGGACAGAGTCATGGCCTTTTATCTTGTTTAACATATAAACAAGACAGACCTGTCATGGCTGAGAAATAGGCTGCTCTCCTGGGATAACACAGCTGAGAACTGGATTTACAAAGATGGAATGAAGTAGTAGTTTAAAAAACTTGACAAGAGTTGGATGGGATACAGAGAAGAATTGTTCCTTACAGCTCCCAAACAAACAAAAAAACACCCCAAACTAAAAGCCACACAGAAGTTCCAAAAACACTGCCATGTTCTCCCAGGGATGAGGGTATGTTTTGCTAAGCCTGGCCTGAAGTCTGGTGGCATGGTGGACCTGGATCAGCTGAGCTGCCTGGGTCAAACAGTTGAACTCTGAGCCTCAGATCTCCTACCAGCATGAAAGTAAAATACATGAAAACACATACTAGGTCTCGATCAGACAAGTGGTGGATTCGTACTGATCTCCATTCTCACTCTTTTCCACCACTCCAAAGGGCCTGGCCAACACAAGCATGCTGGCCTGGCTCCATAATCTCCCTGGGGGCCAGGCAAGCAAAGTAAGAAAGAGGCCTAAAAGGAAGGCAGAGGAAACAAACAGAACACTGGGCACTGGCACCTCCACTGCCCAGTCTGTTTCTCTCTCTCTCTCTCTGTTAACAATTTTGAACATATACATAAAAAAAAAAAAAAAATTTATATACATATATACACATTTACACACACACACACATATACATCTAAATATACATATATAATATGCTATATGTCTGAGTTGGTAACAGTGTTCCCAGCGAACAATTTTAAAAGCACAGAAAGCAAGGAGTGATTTTGTGCCCTGTGTTCTAGGCCTCAGCTACCAGGCTCCCGCTCTCCCAGGAGCTGCCTGCTACAGCCCATTTCTTGGATGTTCTTCCGGATACAATCAACTCTGGGGTTCCTTATGTCCCTTCTCATCTGAGAAACAGACTCCTGAGAGTACAAACACTCTCTGCTCCAGGGCCCTGAGTAAGTTCCTCTTCTATCTTTACTTATTTCTAGAAGGGTTTTCAAGTGTGTGCTCTTGAGGCAGGGTGGGTTCAGGGGCAGAGAGGCACAAAGTGGCCTTCCATCCTCTTAAAGCTGTACAAGAGTTTAAACAAGCTCTCATGGCAAAGTTGTGCTCTGCTCTCCTCCCAGCTTCACTGAAGAGATGAGGCATTGGCCAGGACACTGGACATCACAAGGAACTTCGTCTCACTGGGCAGCCAAATAAGACAAACTCCTATGCTTTAGGCAGCAGGGAAATTAAGTACAGCCACTGAGGCCTACAAAGACTAGCTCAAGATGCTGGTCTCTTGAGTTTCCTGTTCTCAAAGATGGCACCTCTCGCTGGATGTGGTGGCACACGCCTGTAATCTCAGTGGCTTGGAAGGCTGAGGCAGGAGGATCACGAGTTCAAAGCCAGCCTCAGCAACTTAGCGAGGCCCTAAGCAATTCATTGAGGCCATAAGCAACTCAGTGAGACTCTGTCTCAAAGTAAAATATAAAGGGGCAGGGGATATGGCTCAGTGGTTAAGTACTAAAAAAAAAAAAAGGCACCTGTCCTCACCCTGGGCCAGGTGGTTGTGGGGTGGGTGGGGTGAAGCACTGTTCAGAGGCTGACTTGCTCACAAAAAGTTCACCTGAATGGCCTGGGCATGGAGCATGTCAGGGGCAAGGCCTGGAGCAGTGAAGGGTGCTTGCACTCTACCCTGTGGTTTTACCTAAAGACTATCCCTCAGGAGGTGGAAAAACCACGAACTTCCATTTACAAGGCCTGATGACCAATAAGGAATCATTGCCTCAGAGCCAGTCTCCTTTGCACAGAGTGGGCTTGGCAGTGTTCCCTCTCCAGACGTAGCAGGGCAGCCAAAGCACAGGATAAGAGGAAGCCTCACAATCCTTATGGAGAAGCCTGCCACCCTTCTCCAAACATGCCGCGGTTACCTTACTGTCTTGCTGGGCACAGGCCCGACGCCAGAGGACCCTTTCTCCATTCTTCTCACTTGGCAAAACTGAGTCCTCTGAGGCACCCTCCTAACTTGCTCTTTCCTTAACATGCCTGAAAGCTCTCTCCTTGCACTCTTTTCTACCACTAATTCCAGTAAATTATGGACGAGATAGTGTGGGCTGGTAAGTTCCTGGGGCACAAGGACCACATGTGCAATACATCATTAAAAAGACCAAATGCCTTATATGGAAGTATTTTTTGTGTGTGTCCTTGCCATCCATACTTCCCAGGCCCCTTCTGTTTTAAGTTATTGTTTTAGAAGAAGGCAGATGCTTCTCCTCCCCACTTCTTCCAGGTTCCCTACCATTTTTCAGGACTCAAAGCTTGGGAGAACCCAACAAGCTCATTGGCTCATATGCATCCATGGACTCCCTCTGTGTTTATGTGTTCCCTCTCCAGGGAGGTGTACAGGCCTTTCCTAGGTATGCAGCCTCAAATGAGCTGGCTGGGGCTCTGGTGCCCATCCTGGGTAATGGCCGTATATGCAACATAGGCATGACTGTGTGTGTCTCTCATAGCAGTAATTATGGAATTGTGCCACAAGATGAGGGCCTGTCCTGCCTGGGTGGGAGGCCCCTAGTCAGGACGATTTCTAACTCACCAATATAAGCACAGAGCCAAGCCCAGGGCCTTCCATAGCAGAGTCTGCTGATTTAAGGCTTTGATGCTAGAGACAGGTAATGAGCAAGCCTGGGAAATGAGCTGACTCACATCTGCCTAGATGCTCTGGTAGGGAAGATGAAAAGAAAACAGCAAGAAGTACTGGAGGAGTCGTGGCATCACACACAGGTTTCACTGCATCACACCTCACTGGCTATGACAAAAGTATAAGTAAAGATCCATAGCACAGCCCAGCACAGCTCAGAATTGAGTTTGTGAAAGACAGTGCAATGTGAGGGAAAGAAGAGGGTCTGAGGACACAGCTTCATCTTGGGTCTGGGCAAAACAATGGAGGTTCTCCACTCAGCCTCAGCAGAATTACCCTGATCTTTCATGTAAGCACCAATAATGTGTGCTAAACGCTTTAAAAACAATACTCATGCTATGTACATTTTATTAGTAGTCTTAGCAACGAGAAAGACAAAACAATAAGTGTTGAGAGCCACAGCCGAAGGGGCCCCAGCAAACTTCCAGCTGCCAGCTGATGATTGGCTCACAGCGGCCCCAGCAACTTCTAGCTGCCAACTGATTGGCTCCTCTGCAGTGATGCTCATTGCTGTTTCCCTGCCCTTTCAGACCACGGAGCTCCTCACTGGGGGACTTTTTTTGGCTCCGCCCACACGACCCAGCCAATGGGCCTCAAGAGCAGGAGGAGTGGGGGAGGTGGAGAGGCTTGTGGGAAGCCGGTGGTGGCAGTTGGGCTCTGAGGGTTTTTCCTGAGGAGCTGTGTGGTGTGGTGTGTGTGTTCTAAAAATAAAGTTTGTTTCTTTTGACAAGTGGCTCCTGAATTGTGCCCAGCCAGACTGTGGCAAATAAGAATCTGGTAGGTGCACAAAGCAACCTACCACTGTCTCAGCCTCACTGTGCATATCTGGAGAGGTTGAAGCGTGGCTGAGGCATTGCCAAGGAGGGGTCTCCACCTCCTCCAAGAAGAACCCAGCGTATAAGCCTAAAGCCTTAACCATCCACATCAGTAAAATGGCTCCTCTTACAGGATTTCCACATGCTTCCATGGTCCTCATGACTGGGAGATTCCATACCAGGATGAAAGCAGCGTGGGGTTCTAAGTGCTTCTGGAGGGTGAGACCTACCTGCACACACCCTTCAGGTATATGCAGGTCTGGGTGTATCTGTGGTACCCATCAGAGCACAGGGAATGGAGACAGCCTCAAATTCAATGGGTTCTGTTGGGAACACAGGACTAAAAGAGACGGGGACAAACACAAGTGGGCATATCGAGCAGGCAAGCCCAGAGTCTATCAGCTCTAACTACAGTAGACTGGGCTCAACCAACCATCAACAAGCCCAGGCTGTCTCATGTGCTGGGGATTCTGCTTATCCAAACTGTGGGTCCCCAGATGGCCTGGGCCACATGTGCCGTCACGAAGAAGCAGCCGTCAGCACACACTTCCTGAAGTAGGAACAGGCAGGCGATGCACAGGCATCCTCACTCGCTCATCTGAGTAAGCAGCTCCTGCTGCTCAAGCTGATGTGTTTACTAGCACTCAGAACACCTCCCCTGGTCACCCGGGAGGGAGGCAAGGAGGCGGTAGGAAAATGCCAGGCAGTGAAGGCAGCTGAGGGTGTGGGGAGGGAAGAGAAAAAAAACACTGTGGTTGCCCCAAAGTTCTTTTCTACAAAGGCAATAACTCTGTTTCTGGTCTTGCCTTTATAAACCCAGCACATCTCCAAGTCTCTACACATTCTTCTACGAACGAGTAGCTTCTACTCGCTGAGCTGGGCAGCTTGAACAGTTATTTAAATTTAATCCTCATAACAAGCTACGGAGGAACAACCCTCAATTATAGGAGAGAAAGCAGAGGCCTAAGGGTCACAGTGCAGTGGAGACAGTTCCAGATTTCCAACAATGACCTCTCCAACTTCAAGGCCAGAACCTGGTCCAACCCTTAGGGCTATTCTGAGGAACCACACAAGCAAGTTGGGTGATCCTTAGACAGCAGCTAGCTCCAGAGCCCCAAGGTGACAGGAAAAGACTAGACTGATGCTTCCATCTCAGACACAAGAAGTAAACCTGATGTGGACCTCAGAAGCAAGTTGATCTAGATAGAAACCCCACAGGGGACAGCAATTGCCATAGGACTCTGCTGGAGTACCTCCTTCACTCTCAAGCAGGTGGCAACTAGTTGGGCAGGCCCACAGATCAATCGATCTCTCTCTTTCAGAGAGACGGAGAAACAAACATACAAGTACATAGGGTTATATGAGTTACTCCCAAACTGGAGTTCTAGTGAAAAGAGTCCTGCTGGGACCTGGAGCCAGAACCACCAGTCTTTAGTACTCACTGGCTGCAAGACCTTAGAGCAGTCACTTAACCACCATGAGCTTTAGTTTCCTCATCTAGGAAACTAGGAAGAGTAACCCCTACAGTAATACTTAGCTCTCAGGGTGGCTGTGAAGATAGAAATCAGATGAGTGATGAAGGGACAGGAAGGGTAAGTGCCTTGATGCAGCAAGAACCAAGGAGCCGACTGGAATCTGAACCCTAGAGACTGACTAGTCTCTTCTGAGAGGTGGACAGTGAGGACTACAGGGAAAGGCCACCTTTTATTCACTCAGACGTCTCACTTGACCCAAATAGCTCCATGGCCTCGGGCTGATAAGGATGACCTCTCACCTCTGAGAGCAAGTTCATTCCTCTATGACCCTCCCCACCCCAAACACAAGCACTGGTCTGAAAAGGGGACTCAGTGACATTTCTCCCTCTGTATTCTAGCATTTAAAGTTCTTTCTAATGATAAAATATAATTTTTATTTAGACATTGTCTCAACAAGAAGACTCAAAACAACAAAGAAACCTGAAAATAAAAAGGGAAAACTCGCCAGATAAGATGGGAAAACATTTTTTTGAGCTGACTTCTACAATAGCCATAACCTCTAGAAGTTTGGTTTTAAAGGAAAGTCTTTATTCAGGAGCAACCCTTTGTTTCAAGTATAAGATGTTCACAGAATGATTTTCTAAAGCTTTGTCTCATGGTCTCCTTGTCATAAAAGCTGTGAAGTGGTAGGAAAAACAGGAGTTCCCTCAATTTTACATATATGAAAACAAAGGCCTGCTTCAGGTGTGGCAGAGCCAAGTCCTGGGGCAGATGTTCTAAGTCCAAATCACAAGCCCTTTCCAATCTAGTGGGCTCACAGGGACCAGGATGCACATGCACAATGTGCAGAGCCGGGGGTGGGTGTTCCGAGTCCACTTTCTGACTTGGCACTTGTGGGGGAAGTGTGTGCTACTTCAGGGTATATGTGTGACAGGAGGCAGGGTGGCTGAGAGGAGACAGGGGAGCCCCAGCCCGTGTACCTGCAGTGGTGGGCTCTGTCGGGCTTGATGCTGCAGCATTTGGGACACTTGTATACCACCTGCCCAGGCTTCAACTGTAAACTCTCGATAAATTCTTTAGTGGCATTTCCTTTGGGCACTGCCCCCTGTAAGAAAGAGGAAAAGTGTCAGGGTTGTTCTGGCAGTTCTATCAGTCATAACACTCCAAAGTGGAGACAGTCATTTCAAAGCAGCCACCACACATGTGTAAACTCTATTTTCTGAATTATATCAACAGTGAGGACTATTTATTTATTTATTTAGTGGTGCTGGGGATTGAACCCAGGGCCTTGTGCATGAACTACATCCCCAGCATTTTTTATTTTATTTTGAGACAGGGTTTCAAAGTAGTCCAGGCTGGCCTTGAACTTGTGATCCACCTGCCTTAGCCTCCTAAGGAGCTAGGATTACAGGTGTGCACTACCGTGCCTAGTAAGGAATATTTATTGACAATGAATTTTTCTGAGGAAATGCCATTAGGCTACATCAATTCCTTGATCAATTTTCTACAAAGAATAGTACATTGTTCCTGATTATTTTCTAATTAATTTTGCTAACATCACTGAATCCATTCTTGCCTACCTAAATGTTACAGTAACAATTTGACTCATAATGATTTTGGTCTACATTAAATTTCCTGTTAATAGCATCTGCCTTTGTGAGTTTTCATTGGTGGGCTTCACATCTAACAGTCCAGTTTTCCTAGACCAAAATTTGCAGCTCTAAATTTCAATGGGTTGTGTTTACATTGGAATCATATTTTATTTTAGTTTTAATCAGCACTATTATTATGAAGGATTGGAAAGTTGTATTTCTTCCTTAGTAAAATCCCAAGCAATAGGGAGCCTCGGTCTCAGGTATCTGACTTGCTATCTGGCCAGACTACCCTCTGATTTGCTATTCCATCTGGCTTGTGAACACTTTGTGTTCTTATTCTAGCTGTCCAGATTTGGGCACAACCAACAGCAGAGTCAAAATGCCATCAGAATCTGTTGTTGCTCTGCATCCATCCAAACAGAAGGAAACTGGCAGTGCCCAGTCGGAACGGGGTCTGGGAGCCAACCCTCACCAAGTGCCTACTTGGCGCTGAGCCCTGCTCATGGCTATGGACTCAAGAATCAATTTCCAGGAGACTCATGGTCTTTTGCAGGCTAACAAACAATTCTAATAGAGGGGGTTACATGTTGTAGAAGTCGCTTATGTTGAGAGAACTCAGAGGAGGCAGTAACCAACTAACCAGGGGAATCAGAAAAACTTAAAGAAATTGCTGTTTAAGGGCTGTCCAGAGGAGTGTGACAAGGTTTTCCAGTAAGAGCTGGGGGAGAAAAGGGATTCCAGCAGAAGGGTCAGGCGTAAAGGCGAAGTGAGAATGGGCCTAGCACACTTGGGAGATGGTGAGGAAACCAGTGTTCTGAGCCCAGGCGTGCAGTGTTAGCAGAGAGACCGGGGTCAAGGGCAGCCCATGTGGAGTGTTCAATGCCAGACCTAAGGATGGGTTGGGTTTTCTTTCTGGGCAGCCCAATGCAATTGGGTGACACCAATGCTTCAGGAATAGAGCTCGTCTGTCTGTGCTATGTGGACCACGTAAGAAGTAGAGATTAAAATCCCAGAGACCACTTAGGAGGTTACTGTTGACAGTCTAGTAAGGAAGGACTAAACTATGAGGATAGAAGTGAAATGGAGAGAAAATTCAGACACCTGAGCTTATAAAAGGTGTAGTACAGAACCAAGTAAATACCGTGGAGATATGGGGGCTGACACAGGGGAGGAGAGGAACACTGATAAGGTTTGGAGGCACCCTTAAGCCACCAAGAGGATACTGGAGAAGCAAGTTGTGGGGAAGAGTGGGCAAGTTCAACAGGGGCCTGCTAGGTCTGAAGTGCCCAAGGGCCCCCAGGAAAAGATGTCAGGAAGGTAGCTGGGAATATGAGTCCAAGAAGCACAAGAGAAGAGTGCCTGGTGGAAAGCACAGGGGTGAGGGGTGGGCTTGGAAGTCCACTGTCCCTGCTTTAAATTTGACTTCCACATTTGTCTGTCTGTGCTATGTGGACCACGTAAGGAGAGATTCTCTTCTGTGAAGAGAATCTTGGGCCTCTCTGTGCCTTAGTTTTAGTGAGTCAGGATTCATCTTGCCCAATCCCTAGCACTACCATGAGGGTTACGCCACACACAGTTTATGGAAAGAGCTCAGATGATGCGTGCCACACACAGTGCTCAGGATATGGTAGCCCGGATTCTAGATCTAGCATTGGCATCAACTCTGTAGCTTAAAAAAATACAGACACCCAGACCGCTGCAGCACTACTACATAAAGACTGTACATAAAAACACCTGCACTTTATAAAACCTCCAGCAGAGTTCTGAGTGAGTGCGACTGTGGATTATCAGGTTGGGATAGTGAGGGTTTCAGATAGAGCATCACTTGTTCCTGCGGAGGGAGGTTGACAAATGGTCACAAACCAAGGAGGTAATCCCAGAGCAGGAGGGATTAGGAATGAATCTTAGAACCTGTCTGAAAAGAAAAATTCTGGGAAGGGAAGAACTATGGAAGAAACAGAAAAATCTTCAAATGCTGAGAATACATGGAAGCTGTAGTTTTGTTTTGGATAAGGGAATGACCCACAATGAATAAACAGTCCAGCTAAGGCGACTGCAGAGACAAATCAACCAACAACTCTCTTCTACACTGTGCCAAGCACTGTAGGAAACACAGAGAAGCGATGGGACCTCAGGGCCTCCAATAGCTGGTGAGTAGACAGTGGTGCAGACTGAGGAAAGGGATCCCAGGAAGGCCAGGAGGATCCTGGTGGATAGCATACAGGAGAGGGACCCCTGGGAGGGGAACCAGTTCAAGCCTTGGCCCCAATGTGGGAGTATAGAACTCCTCCTGGCCTTTCTGTCCCTCATGTGGCTCTTTGCTGGGCCCCCAAATTCTCCTTGCTGAGGCTCTCCTTCTCCTAAGGACCTATTCACTCCTGAGAGGGGCAGCACTTGACTGACCTATCGTTTAGAGTGATGTCACACTCCCCCACTGGTGTGCCTGAAGATGAGGAACCTTGTTCACACACATGCTTATCTCTCTGGTGGGGGCTCAACTCCCTCAGGTGTTCCATTAAGTTTTCTTTTAAAAGTTAAAAAAAAAAAAAAAAAGGAGAAAAAAAGTTGGTCTGCAAAATACAGTCAGATGTCAGAAAAGCCTATGATAGAAAATCTGAAAGCAAATAAACTTTGGTGGGTAAGGACCATATGGTATGTACCATGCCATTTACAATGTAGTTTTTCACAGTAAATATGTATTTTAATTGATGAGAAACATCAACAATACACACACATATGAACAGGAACTAAAAAGATACATGCAAAAGTATTAGTGGTTGTCCTGAGGTATAGGATCATGGGTACTTTTTATTTTCTTGATTGTATTTCTTAAATGTTCTCTTGTGAACATGTTGGCTTGTGCTATAAGGGAAAAATCCTTAAAAACACAGGCAATAAATAAGTAAACAAACCTCAATAAGGAGCTACCTAAATAGAAATATGACCAGTTTTCCTTAAGTTTGTAACCAAAGTGCTATTAATGTCTTATTTTGAGCCATCTAGGCTGAGGGTCTCACAAATCCCCAGAGGGCTTGTAATGCAAAAACTAACTGCATTTGGGCAACTGTATGACCTTCTGTTTATCCTGAAATATTAATAATGCAACCAAAGTCACTACTGTCATGTATAGAAGATAAGAAGTGCAAAGAGACATCATTTCCTCAAGAAGCACTGGAACTCAGCTTTCCTTAATGCAGACACAGGTGGGCCCCCTGAAGACCCCGTTTTTAAGATGGTCCCAGCTACCACGGAAGGACACAAGACAAAGTCCCTCTGTAATAGGCAGTCAAAGGTCCCACTGGCTACCCTCATTATCTCAGGCTTTTTCAGATCTCAGTCAGAGACATTTTAGCAGTTCAGTCTTCCTCAAAGTTTGACTTTCCACTGTGATTCCATTTGCATAAATCTCCCAGAAGGCTTATCTCCATCCAGACAAGGTCCCACCTGCCCAGCCACCTGTGCCTATCCCTCAGAGTCAGAGACCAGCTGGGCCAGTCCCTGCGATAGCAATCTGTGACAAATGCACTTTCCAGCCACAGAGGAAGTTTTCCATCCCCTCCACCCTCCCACCTCTTTCTCAGGAAGATGCTCTTCTGCCCACATTTTCACAGATTTCAGAACTGTGGAAACTGTTATCAGTCTATGGAAAAGAATTTTGCTCCATAACAATCCTAGACAGAGAGCAGGGAGGCAGTAGGAAGGTCTATGGAGACTTTTTGCCACTGAGATACACCAGCCCTCCTCCCTACCTTGCAGGGATGTCTCAAAGGTCCCACATTACCACAGCCTGGTAGATCAAAGGCACTGATTTTTTTTTTCCTTCACTTCCAAAAGAATATATACTTGTTCATGATCTTTAAAAAGAAAATACAGATGAGAAAGTGAAAAAAGAAAAATCCACTCTTAAATCTTTCACCCAAGGTAGATACTATTACTATTTTGAAGCATATTCTTCTAGTCTTTTTTTCTTGGTACCTAGTGACCTAACAACACTTTAAAAATCTGTAGATCTATAAAAATGTTCATATGCTTCCAAAATATACACATGGCCCCACAGTGGAATCAGTTCAAATGTGGTTAATTTAGTTTACAGAATTGTGAGAAGTCATTAGAGCTTTCCTGTACTCTATACCCTCTGCACAGAAGGAAGGAATGTAATGTGTTCATGTGTGGCAGGAGGCATGACATGTCTCCATCTGCCATTTCCCTTAGTGGCTAGCCCAAATTTCCAGGACCTACCTTGACCTTGACCCTGACACATCTCCTCCCTTCCTTCCTTCCTTCTTGCGTCAAATTCTCCCTATGTTGCCCAAGATGGTCTTAGACTCACCATCCTTCTGCTTTAGCCTCCCAAGTAGCTGGGATTCTAGACTTGCACTACAGTGCCTGGCACAAAACCCTCTTCATATCCCTTAACTCCCCGCGCCCCCCAATCTCTGGACACACTGGTGCTCACTGTCTTAGAGGACTAGGGGCCCAGCTAACCCTGGCCCTCAGGGACCCTTTCCAT